TCTTGCCTCCCTCCTCCCCCCGCCTGCTGCCCCCCCCGGCGGCGGGGCCCCCGCCGATCTCCGCTCCCCTCGGTTCCCACAACAGGTGCAGGTACTTGAGCTCTTTGTCGTCTCTGTGTCCGACGGGGATGTCACTTATCCCCAAGCCCAAGCCCACACCCACGGTACCCACGGTGCCCCCGCCGTCCAAGCTTCCCTCCACGGTACCCAGCGGTGCCCTGTGCGGCGCCCCCTGGATTTCGTCGTCGTGTCCGTGCTCCACTATGTACTCACCCTCGGAGCTGGAAGGCTCATGATCCGAGGCAGCCGCTACTGTGGGGTTCCATCCGTCCATAGTTTAGCTTGACATTAACCGTGGAGGCTGTGCTCACAGTCCTGTGGAAAAGGAAACGGTCCCGGCAAATATCAGGAGAAAACTTTGTTTATGGCATTAAATACGTCAGCTGCGCCTACGGCCATCGCACGACACCTTGACGTTACTTCTGTTTTAATGACGTGTTTTGAATCCTTGAAGAATTTGATAGGAACATGTTAACAGAAGACGCTTCTCCTTCGACACCACTGAAATGTCCCCGTTTTCACTTTCTCCATTTCTTCTGCTAGAGCCAGTAAGAAACACGTTTACTCACAACTGTTGACCAATCACTTGTCCTCTTGTTCATTTGCTCCTGTCCAATAGAAGCCGCGCAAACACACAGCCAATCCGAGTTCTGGGCCTACGCATGCGTACATGGAACAGGGTTGTTTTCATATTGTCCGATACAACAGGCCTCGTTAATGATTGACAGACGGCCACAGCACCGTCTTCATAAAATGAATCACAGTCATATTTTATTAAAACGTTTGCAATGTGTACATGAACGTACAGTAGAATATAGCCCCAGCAGAGGGCGCCAACGATCCATTATGAGAAACCAACGGTGACTTTTATACATGAATATCATGAACACTTTGTTATACACTGAATATACAGTAGTGCTTGTCCAATGAAGTGACATCAGGACCATTTCAATTACAGAACATTACAGAACTGCCCTGCTGTGCAGCGTCGAGCTTTGAAACAAACTGAGGTAATAAACGGTTAACAGAACATTAACAGAACTTCAAAGGATGAATCTCAGCTGTGGTTCTCCACAGAATTTTAATTTCAAAATGTTTTATTAATTTCGGGGTTTAAATCTAACTTACGACTTAGACTTGATTTGGCTCAGCAAATTCATCAAGACTTTGGTGGTTCTGATGAAAGAGGCGTAGAGTTTAGAACCAAAACCAAACACTGAATCAAAGGTCCAGTCTCAGTCCTGGAGACACAGGTGTCCCAGCCTGGGCCAGGAAGTTGGCTAATGCTGGGTCAGGTCCCGATGAGACTCCATCCTGCTTGGTGGGCATCAATCCGGAGAACTGTACACGTTCAATAGGCCGAGCCACATGTTGAATACCCTGCTGCTTTAAGTATCCTTGCTGGCAGAAGAGGGGGGGCCTCCGGTGTGTGAGGGAGGACTGAAAACACGATTCTGAAAGATAAGAGTGTCAAACGGCAACCAGTGTGATGTCAGCAGTCCATAGTCCAACACATGGTAAATATAGATTTTAACATGTAATCCATATACTGTATATTTGAGCTCTGACAGCAACGGCTATATTCACTGATTATAAACAATCAATAAAAACATCAGTCCCTGTTAAGAACACCAGAGGGCAGCAGAGGTCGGCAGCCGTCCAGGCTTCGCTGACACGTTTTCTCACCTGCATAGAAGCTGCGGAGGTCGGCCTGGAGACAGTGTTCCAGGAAGCGCTGTAGTGGTTGTATGTGAGATAGGGGGCGCTGCCAATTGGTGAGAAAATCTTCAACCACGTGATGGATGGCCTTGGGTCTCGGCAAAGCCCAGTTTTTGGGTCGCAACCTCATTTCCTCCTCTGGGATTAGAAACACACCATGATGTACTTCATTTACAGTCGTACCTCGGCCAATAGAAATGTTCTGTTTGGACCTCGGCCAATAGAAATGTTCTGTTTGGACGTTACCACTTACCAGTAGGGAGAGTGTCGTAGTGATATAGGACGGGGTGCAGAAAGCTGGATCTCCAGGCTGTGGTCCAGTTGATCTGTCTTGCTCTGTCTGGACCCAGGGTGTCAGTCACTTTCTTGCCATACTGCATGATGATAACAATTAGACCCTGCAGGGACACCTTGTGGCCAGAGAGAGACGTAAACTGGGGCAAGGCTTGAATTGGAAACTCTTCAACATATTCACACTGGGACCTTAGAAGGAAGTGGAGAAACACAGGCCGGTCAGTCAATCAAGACGACTTCACCTTTGGTACTAAACAGTCGCGTTAGGTCGGTCTAAAATTCTGATCCACTCAAAGATCTGAAGAGCTTATTAAAGCAGCAAACGAGGGAGGACAACCTGAAGGTAGTAGACACAGTCTGAACTCACCCCTGTAAAAGCACAACATCACCTAACACCTCCACCATCTGGTACAGCCCAGACACCTCATTGACCCGCTTCAGAATCCAGGATTGCAGCTGTGATGTCATCAACTTTGTTGAAGTCCAAGGGTTGCGATGGTTGCGGTATTCAAGTACACGGTGGACAGCTCTAACTGTGGTAGAAAAAGGTCGTTTCAGCTCACTTTGAACACCACCTTCATCACTTCAGGAAATGACCATGAACCTTCCCTCAGAATTTTCACCTGTGTAACGGAACCCATGAATAAAGCCCCCGGCAGACTGTCGATAGTCTCTGGAGTGAGCTGCTGTTCCCAGGACAAACAACCCGGGGCTGTTCTCCCCCTCGTACCACGCCGTCACACTGGGCAGCCTCCCTTTGGCATTCTCGCTGTTCTGCAGCCGGGCAGAGCTACGGAGACATTTGAACATCAGCTAAATAAATGACACCTGTGGACAGGGAATTCTGGGAGACAGAACCAAGTCCTGACCTGTGGAATATGCTGAAGTTGAATCGGAATCCAAGGCATCGAATGATTCGGTCGTAGGGCTCTCGCAGTGAGAAATTGTCAATGTGATACTTTGAAAGTTCCTCTGCTGAAACCTCAGAGGTGTTTTTTCCTCCTTCCTGCTTCAGGAGGAACTTGTTCAACCTCGGATACAACTTCTTCTTCTTCTTCTTCTTGTCTTTCTTCTTCTTTTCTGGTTTCTTACTGTCTCCGTCCTTCAGGTGAGCGATCACGATGTTCTCCAGGTTGGCTTCAGCCAGCCCATCCAGGGACTTCAGTTGGTACGTGTCCAACAGGTCGTTATTCACCGCTCTGAAAGACGGAATGAAAACACAACGAACGCACGTAAAAATCACAGCACAGATAAATGTTGGGAGAGGACGAAACAGAAGCCTTCACCTGAGGTCTCCCACGTAGTGTGTTTGCCAAGCCAACCGGACCGGGCTGGGACTGAGCATGTGAACAAAACTGGCTCTGCCCATTATGCTTTGGGCCGTTTCAAAAGCCGAGTTTCCCTTCCCCAGGATGAGCACGGTCTGGTCCTTGTAGTCCTCAGGGTTGGTGGAGATGGACTCGTAGCCCTCCACCAGCTCCGAACCAACAAAGTCCACCTTCTGGGGCACCCACAATCCCGTGGCTACAAGAAGGGTGCTGAGGATGGAGAACAATAATACAGACCAGTTAATCTGGGGGTGGGGGTGGGGGGGGTGCCAGAGGTGTGTGTCAAGGTCAAAGGGCAAGGTCTCCTGTTCACCTTTAACAATGCTGAGGCAACATTTTGAACCCCATGGATAGATGGAAAAAAAGAGAGGGTACAGGGGGAGCGGTGGGTGGGGGTGGGGGTCACACTGATACCTGCACTGGAGCTCAGAAGCCTGTTGATCCGTCAACAGGTATTGAACCCCCGTGGCCATCTGAACTGCTCGGACATTTCTGATGTCCACACCATACTGTACTTTCAACCCCAGCTCCTTCTGGAAGATGGACAGGTAGAGGGGGTAGGTGTCAGCTGGGGGGTAAAACTCACTGCTCAACCGCTTGAACAAAAGGCTGGACTTGTCACTCAGCAGTGAGTTCCAGTCATGACGCAGGTTGAACTCTTTGTTTGCTGATCCTGTGTGGATCTTGTTGATACTGATCAACTTTCTGTGTCGGGGGAACCTGGAGACACACACACACACACAAGGTCAGACAAATACAACACCACCATCTCCATTGGGTTCACACATGAATCCTGAGCTGACCTGTGGAAGAAGCTGCCTGGCCCAGAACTCCTCTCCAGGATGATGTAGTCTCTTCTGGCCCTGGACAGGAAGTATCCCATCTGCAGTCCTGCAGGTCCAGCTCCCAGGACACAGTAGTCGTACTGGTGGCGGCGGCCATTATCAGACCAGCATGTCACACAGCTGATCGAGATGAACAGGAGAAAAAAGACCAGGTCTGGACCCATGTCCTGCAGACAGATGAAATGACATGAGACCAGACGAGATGAGGGAGGAGTCTGCACTACTACTACTACTGCTGTCTAGTACTACTACTGCCTAGTACTGCTACTGCCTAGTACTACTGCCTACTACTGCTATGAGGGAGGAGTCTGCACTACTACTACTACTGCTGTCTAGTACTACTACTGCCTAGTACTGCTACTGCCTAGTACTACTGCCTACTACTGCTACCTACTACTACTGCCTAGTACTGCTGCCTACTACTACTGTCTATTACTACTGCCTAGTACTACTTCAAGTAAACGACTAACTCTAGCCAAACTGCTGTACGACTGGAAACACAAGCTCAGGTCGGTTTCAGTTCCATGTTGTAGTTGTTATCACGCCTGCGGTCGAGTAAGTTTGGTAATCGACATGTCAAAATAAAATCAAGTTACAACGCACAAGAACGCTACTGTGGATCTGCGGATGATTTGAACGTGTCACATGACTCCCACGCTAAAAGATCATTGAAGTTCTTTCGGGGTGGCCTTTTAAGATGTATCAATTTTCACAAAAAGTTCGAATTGAGAATCCGATTAACTTTCAAAATAAAAGCTATTCTTTCTGAGCGCTGGCTGGAGGCTTTCGAGATAGAGAGGACGGCCATTTCAAAGCAATCGCCATCTAGTGGCATTAGCTAAGAATGCCGTTGGGGCATTGCGATGCAGGAAAAAGACAAATTGAAACGATAAAACACACATCTTCGACCCGGTCGGGCTAGTTTGGATAAGAAACTAGTTCGCCAAGCTAGACCGTGTACGTGGGTCTCAAACCACTAAAGGGGTTCTGACATTAAATGCGTTTTACTTATCGTCTTGTAACTACATTGTTGCACAAGTTTCCACAGCAGTCAACAACAATCACCCCCCACATCCCCTCGTTCAATGCCCCGAATTTTCCTGATCGCCTACCTTATTATCTTGTGAATATCAGAAACTCATCTTCAAAATAAATACCTTACACCTTCAGGTCATATTTTTGGTGTGTCGACAGCCAACAGATCGAAGATCCACCCAGCAGAATCTCCCAGGTTCCTCTGTAGCTCTGTCCGATGATGGATCACTCAGCGGCGGCAGCAGGAAGACCAGGCGGTACCTTTTTACGGGCGTTGTTCCCTGGTTCTCACAGTGTGTCCTGTGTCAGAACGAGTCCCGTCCACAATGTTACATGTTTACCGTCTGCTGTGTCGAAGCGGTTCCCAACAGTCCAGCAGTTAAACCGGGCGATATACGTCACATAAAGCGCACCGCATCATTGGACCAACCCGCATGCTAACAAAACAAAGCTAGTGTTTTATATTCCTGTCTGATTCTGATCATTTGGCTTTTTTTTTTAAACTGAACAACTCACGAAGAGCGTGTGTACAAATAACACAAATGAAGTTATTTGTATTCACGAGTACAAGAAGCGGTGACGTTGAAAGTGGTGTTGGGTTTTTTTTTCCTGCTCCGTGAATTCCGAGCTGAAAACACTGCAGCCAACTCCTCCGTCTGTCCGGGTCCCACGTGAGGACTTCTGGTTCCAGGTCTGCTCTGTTTTCACTGGGCCCAGAGTCAATAAGGTTCTACAGTTTTCCACTGACAGTTTTTACAGTAGAATTGTAACAAGTTGAACACAGTAAAATGGCTAAACCTTGGTGGAGTTCATGTACACTACAGAGTATTTCTCAGCAGAAGTGCACAAGTACTGCTGCAGTACATAACTCATAAATGTCAATGATTGTCTGTAACTGCATGACGCTGCGGTCACCTGCGCTGCTGCGTCCTGATCTCTGATTGGTCTGAATTCACCTTCAACTCCGTGGACTGATCAAACTGGTATCAGTCCAATATGTCATATATGTGACATATATGTCAGTGGCGTTGAAGCCTATCAGCTGAACATCAAACAGTTACCCGTGACACTGCGCTGTGATTGGACGATAAGTGAAAATCACAGTCAGTGGTGTGAACGGCCTGGTGATCTGTGAGTGACTCTCAGTTTGTGCTGCGTCATGTTCTGGACTGACTGACTGCTTTGTCATGTTTGACAACAACACGGTGAAGAATGTGACTCAGCACTCACACTTCCTGTCTCAGTCAGAGCGCCGGCCCCCAGACTGCTATAAAAGGAAGGAGTGAGCGGTGGAGCAGCAGCAGCAGCAGCACAGGGGCCTAACTCATCAGCACAGTGAGTACTTTTGAGTACTTCTGGGTACTTCTTTGTACTTCTTCTCACTTCTTTGTACTCTTTGTCTCAGTTTGTGTCACTGTGTTTCAGGGTAACGCACGGAGAAGATGAAGAGTGCCAGGAAACCAGACACCGGGGATTCTGGGAGGTACAGTAGGAACAATCGATTCTCAGCTCCTGTTCCTGTTCCTGTTCCTGTCACTGTCACTGTTGTGACTCTTCTGTTTGTGCTGCAGTGATTTATCAGAGCAGATTAAAGCGGCCACTTCAGACATCCATGTCAGAGCTGAAAACACTGAGCTGATGTTGACCTACCAGAAGGGTCGGATCAGTGCCACGCAGTACAAGGTAGGTACTACACAGTACTGTGAACTCCAGCAGTACACAGCGCTACATATGTGTAGTACTTCAGCAGTACTCCCTTTTATCTGTGTCATGTGATCAGTGCAGTACACACACACACACACACACACACACACACACAGAGTTTTGTTCATTTCGTTCACCTTTGATGACAAACTTGATGAAAGTTCTGACCAGATGAGACAGAATTGATGGTAAAACTTGTTAAAGCTGGTCCAGACACCTGACAGTCTGGGACCAGGACCAGCAGAAACCTGAACATCTGTCTGTAGTCTTGTTGGTCCGGTCTCCTCTCTGTTCTGTGGACTCATGTATGTCGGTCTGGTCCTTGTAGGTCCTGCTGTGTTCCCTCTATGAAGTCTACAAGGCACTGGAGGAGGAGCTGGACCGGAATTCTTCCCACCCGGCCATCGCTCCCATTTACTTCCCACAGGAACTGGCTCGATTGGAATATCTGCAAAAAGACCTGGAGCACTTTTTTGGCCCCAACTGGAAGGAGCAGGTGATCGTCCCTGCAGCCACACACAGATATGAACGAAGGCTCCGAGAGGTGAGTCCACGG